ACTTCCACTTTTATTACTTTTAGGAATAACAACATAAATTATTGTTCATATTACCCATACCTTATATTTTTTAAAAAATTAAAGGATGCCATGTCTATCTTGCTAGTATAAGCTCCCTGAGGGAGCAAACTGTGTATCCCATTTATTACACACAGTGCTAGTCCCAGAACATGAAGGTAAATACATATGTATATATGTGTACATATGTAATTTTTTAAAAAGTCCCAAAGTTATCCAAATCAATATACCACTCCAGTCAGTGGAACATTTCCCCATAATTGTTAATATAACCAAAATCAGTTAAGGCAAAATTCTGACAGAATAAATCAGTTTTTCCTGGTCTTTTCCATTTGTCCTCCCTTCAAAGCCTGTTCCTGGCTACTGCAGATCAATGTCTGCAGAGAGATCCTGCCTTGTCAAACTTTGACATGAATTCTGACACAGCACCTCTTCAGCTGCTGGCTCAGAGGCTGACCAATCAGCTCTGGCATCACAGCCTCAGGCAGGCCAGACTACCTAGAGAACACAGGTCCATTCCTTTTTCAAATCACAGCATCTCCAGTAAGTCTGTGTGAACCAGGTTAGGGCAAAAAGCAATAAAGCGGCAGCTCTTTTATCCACTTGATCCTATGGAGGAATTAGTCCTATCACTGTCTAGAAAAAAGAAAGGAGGAAATTAAAACCAGAAAAGTTTTATGTTTTAAATTCCCCTGCTGACAGTCTTGCCAAGGACTGATGAAGCACTGCATTTGCAAAATTCTAAATATCTATCAAAAATACTTAAGTGTATTAAAACACTTTCTCTTTATTGCTGCCAACATCACATCTGCTAACAAAGGCTACAGAAGGTGACCAGCCATCATCACTGTGCCTAAAACATATGTGTACACGTTCAATACATATTTGTTTAATTAATGAGCAAATAAATGAGAACCCTAAAGAGCTGCCAAAAACACCGAGATATGAAAAATTATATACCAGAGTCAAAACCATTATACAGCAAAGTAATTCTGCAGTAAAAAAAATCTCAGAGGAATCAAAATCAACACAGGCTGACAAGGAAAGCATTCATCTCATGTGTATTTCAAGTACAAGGTTGTCTTTACCTAGTTTCACTCCAGTATTCTTCAAAAAAGCATCAGGAATGCCTATAGTCTCTTTACACAACCTCAAAAATGTTAAATGCTAACAGATGCTAAATATTAAAGCACAAGTAGTCAGCTAGTTAACATTATGGCAAAATAAACTCCAGTTACCCCGCCAATTCTATTCAAACCCAACCCTGAAACATGCAACTAAGTGGTATAGAAGTCCAGGAACTGCTGCCCATCTTCCCCCACAAAATAGGAAATATCACCTGTCTAATTACCACAGATACTGTCAAAACTCAGGAGAAATATCTGAGTTCTTACATCAGAGTTACTGCGTCTAAGCCTGGTAGAACAAGAGAAAATGGGCTTAAACTAGCACGTTACAGTACTTAGAATCTGACTACAAGAACCTTCCAGAACACAAAATGGGTTTGGTTGAAAGGAATCAAGTGAATTTTTCCCCTTGGGTCTTTAAAAGTCAAAGGAATGAACATAATGACCTTTCAAGGTAACTTTCTCACCCAAGGTCCTGATTCCTCTCTGAAAAATTCAGAAGTCAAATTACCTAGCATCCACACACTTCTTCTTGATTATATTTCAATTACAGGTATGATAATGATGATTAAATAATAGCTAATATTTCTAAGTTGCTTTCTATGTGCCAGGCAGAATTCCTTTACATAAATTAGCTCATTTAATCTTATTACCCTTGTTTTACAGAAGAGGAAACTGAGGCAAAGAGATTAACTTGCACAAGGCCACACAGAACTGGGAAGTGGAAGGCATGAGATCTCAACCTAGGCTTTACGTCAAGGAGGCCATCGGGTAATAGAGCTTTTGTCACGGGATGAAAGGACAACCAATGTTTAGGCACCTATAGATGCAAAAAGATTAGATTCCTGCCACTGGTCAGCAGATGCCAAGGTAATTCCGGGGTAATGTTCTGAGAGTGCCATCTGGACCAATGGTGTCCAAATCACCTGAGCAACTATTAACTCTAGGGGTTGAGCCCAGGAATGTGCAAGTCCTTACACACACACACACACACACACACACACACACACACACACAACCATTGCTCCTACACCAACGCTGCTGTATCTCCCAGCAGAAATCACAAAAAGAAAACATAAAACACAATTACCATGAATGAGACTTTTAATTTCAGTAGTAGTTGATAGAATCTGGTTCTTTACTCTGCAATGATTCTCAAATTTATTCAGATGTTGGAACACCTGGAAGTCAAGTTGTTCTCAAAGTGCTAACAGATTTTAATTCTATCAAACCAGGAATAATTGTACTATTGGAAAACATTATTACATTAATACAAAATTTAAAAAATTATAACAGTGTTTTCCTATAGTCAATGTCTCCATAGTAAAAAAGGCCATTTCTGGGCTTTTCATCAATGTTAATTTGCTACATCCATTTATTTTGTCCTCCAATGGCAATCATAATAGGGGGCAAGCAGGAACCAAAGGTCTGAAAATTCCAACCAATAATTTTTAAATTCTTGCAAATTATGAAATCTGGCACCTCCATGTCAAGGTTTTCCCAAAATTGAGCCTGAGAATCACTGCTGCCCACCAGCTACTAGGCACAGATCCTTTACAGCAGGATTTCTTAACTTGGGGTCTATGAACTTGAATTGGACAATTACATTCATATTTTCACTAACCTCTAACTGAAATTTAGCATTTCCTTCACTTACAAATGGAGGTGGCTACTCCCTGCAGCATAAATACCTGTGACTTTGTCACAAACATAAATCACTGATTTTTTTCATATCACATTACAGTTAAACATCTTGAAATGCTGTTTACCTTTATCACTACTTCAAAAATACAGTAATAATTACACCGGATGGTGTAATGAGTTAATTTAAAAGTATGTACTATTCTATCACCACGTTTTAAAAACTGTTTTTGATAACTGTAGTTCAACACAATTGGTTTCCTTCATAAGCCTATGTATTTTATGCATTTGAAAACACAATTATTAAAAGAAGTCTGCTGGCTTCAGATTGCTAACAGTGTCCAGGGCATGCGCACACATTACAAACCCTGACCTAGATGGGTGGGAGCACAAAAAATAGTTTTAAGGCACTAATCACCTATAACAAATGAGTTAAAACACAGTTAACTGCTTAATCTGTTACCACTGGAATTATTAAGTTTGCATTACACCACTAAGGCCACACTGCCTGTGTGCCTAGTACAAAGGAGCTCTCATATGGCTGCTAAATCAAAGTACTCCAAACTCTGGGGTCAAGTTCCTGCTAGTGAGATTTGACACTAGTACTCCACTACTTCTACCAGCAGCCTAACTTGTGGGGTCAGTCTGTCCTCTCTTAGAAATGTACTTACTACTGCTTACCCAAATTAACCCTGGAAAAATGTGCAAGGGAAAACTCATCTATTTGTGTGAAAAGACTCAAGCCCTTTGAAAGACATATTTCACAGTTTTGATTTTTTCACATGTAGCCTTCAACAATAGTTCTAGTGCTCTTAATTATACTAATGTGATTTCCATATCACAACCATGAATTCCATTCCCAGCTCTGCTGTCCACTATGGCCATAAGGAAGAAAGAGGAATCAAGAGAAAAGAAAATTATGTCTTGCCAGGACTCTGCTTTCTGTGGGCAATAGGGGGACTTCAAGATCAGGTAGGCCTCAATGGACACATTCGTTGGTATTTGTTTGTAAAGTGTGTATGAGTAATGTCTGGGCAGTGAAGAGTCCTTTGCTTTCATCAGTTTCTCAAAGAGGATTTCAAAGAAGACCTAACTCTAAAGAAACAGCTGTGCTCCTGGAGAACTGTAAACAAAGTTACTCTACTCAAATGCTTTTTTACAGAACCTTCACGTGTGAAAAAGAACCTCTTTCCTACAACAAATTGTGGGTCAGAGCTGCCGAGCTTTTTGTCCCAACACTGCCCACAGTTGTATTCCTAAGTCATGGTGTTCACAAGCGCCAAGCACAGGTTACTGGCTCTACACACACTAGCCAGCCAAGGCTTCCAATTGCTCTAATCCCTAACAATCAGAGCGTTTACACTAATACAAAAAAAAGGAAGAGATTAAGAGGTAAAGGACAGAAAATTCTTCTCACTGACGTATTCAACAACTTCCAAAAATTAATGCATGCTGTACTGCCAGCTTGAAAGCATCGCCTTACTACACTGATGCTTCTCAAATTGATGGATAACTTACTAGTCAGGATTATACCTCTATTAGCATGAAAGAAGCCAAGAAAGGTTATGGCAAGTGTCATCTTTCTCAATTCAGAAACCAGATCGCTTTGAAGAGGACGGTTATGAGGCAGCAATGGCAATGCTGGCAGAGGGGCTGGGTATCCAAGAATAGTACCTGGGAGTGGGAGTGGGGGTCTCGCGCAATAAACAGCCAAGAGAAATCGAGTGTAGTCAGGAGTGAACGACCACCAACTGAGACGCCAGCATTTTCCTTCGGTCATCACTCCCTCTTCCCTCCTCCACCCCCAGCTGAAGCAATTCGGCAGGAGGAGAGGGAGATAGAAGTGATAAATGGCGTAGCTTTGGGGTGTAAATTCAGGTGTGAGACCTGTTTGCCGCCACGAAATAGGTGTATGACTCGGGCAAGTCACAACATTGTGTTTCACTTGCCTTACCAGTAAAAATGGGACTAAGGGGCAACTACGCTCCGACTCCACAGGAATACTGCTAGGATTAAATGAAACAAGTGCGAAACCCAGCGAAACCCTCTGCTCAGGACCAGACTTGGAGGAACCGTTCCAGGGCGCTAAAGGCAAGTCCGCAGGAGGGTCCTAAGGTCGGGGCCCCAGGCCGCGAAAGGGGGCTCCCCGGGACCGCTCTTCCCCGCCCCTCACCCCGACCCCCCAGCGGAGTTCCGAGCCCCTGCCCGACCCACCTTGTTGTTGTACTCCTCCACGAAGCTGCCCAGGGCCAGACGAAAGCGCTTGTCGGGCCGCACGCTCCAGTTCATGGCGTAGACGGTCCAGGGCGCTTCATACTTGTAAATCTCCTTCCGTTTGCCGTGAAGGGACATGGTGGCGGCTGCCGGGCCGCACTGCGGGCCGGGTCGGCAGCGGGTGGCAGCGGGCGGGGCGTGAGTCGGGCGGGGAGCCGGGCCTGGGACCCAGGGGTCCGAAGGGAGGCGGGGCGGGGGCGGGCAGG